GGAGCAGGGGGCTAATCAGCACAGGGGGGAAGTCGTGGCAAGCAGAAAAGAGAGGTGAAGCAACAATTATTGCAGCCAGAGAGAATTTGTAAAACGAAATATAAGTGCAATTATCATGTGAGATAAAGCTGCTAGAAAACAATTGATGCAGAGTTTAACAAAAAAAAAAAAATATCGAAAAAGGACTGACTGCACCCGTTTTGGAAAAGAACAATTTTCTCTCCAGCGAAGATTCTTCAACGCATAATTAGATGCAATTTTGTCTCTGAAAAGTGGCACCTAACTTGAATACAAATAACTGTTTTTGCATCTACCGTACCTAAAATTTTGCATCCGATTAAGATGTGCAGAAGAACGCAAACTAGCTTGACAGCAAAATTATTAATTATTTAGTGTGTATTTATAAGGTCATTAATGATTATAATTGTTGCTGCCTAGCATATTTTGTTGTCATATCGGCGGTTAACTCACCAAACTGGGTGAACCCTTTAAATATTTTTTGAAGATAAGAAACATTGAGAAAGTGAGTGAAGGCAATACTTACGCGTCACCGACAGTGGCGAGGATAAATTCAGTTGACTTATCATTAGGGATCACGTGACAGTCTTCAATGTCGAACGACCGATCGTTGTCTTTCATGTCGTCCTCGTCTTCGTCCTGCCAAAACAAAGACAAAAATACAAAAGTGAGTATAACGATAAATAAACACAAGACAGCCGTCTGCCGCTTGCCCTTGGCGCCCACGTCAGCTCGCCGCCCTTCCCACCAGCGGCTGGCGATCCTTTGTCGCCGTACGCCCCTCCCCCGTCCGCCCTTTCTCTCTCCCTCCATCGCCTCGCCTAAATGTCTAATTCCCGCGAAATTGCATCATTTGTCTGTAGCGGGCCGGACGCCGGGACCGACCGGGACGACGCATTCCGTTCCACAGTAGATGATCACTTTAGAGCCGTGCGCTCTACCCTACCTTAACACCACGATAGTAATTATAATCTATCGTCGCGCCTATACCTCCGCAAGGAGGAAGTTGTCACTGCTACTCCATTGCCCAAACCCCAAAGAAAGAAAATTCAACTAAATGAACCTCAAAGCAAAACGAAGCAGCAAGAGCCGCAGCCAAGAAGCCAAGCCATGGCTTGTAAGAAGAAACACGCACATGTGACGTACTCTGAATTCTGTCACACGAACGTGGGCCGCACACTCACACAAGTTGACGTCGCATACGTCACACCCCGAAATAAAACGCCCCCCCCCTCCCATCCCCGTCCGGTGCACGCGGCGCCTGTCCGTTAGGCAACCCGAACGCGAGCGGTGCGGTAATTAATTACCCTTTCGGGCAATCCGTCGCCTAGGGAACAGAGAGAGAGAGAGAGAGAGAGAGAGAGAGAGAGAGAGAGAGAGAGAGAGAGAGAGAGAGAGAGAGAACAACGCCTTATATTAAACTGAGCTGTCTGTACGCCGTCCGCACCTACGACGCCACATCTTCGTGTCGGTGCTGCAGCTGGAGGGGTCGGCGTGAGTCTGTGAGTGTGAGGAAATCCTCCACCCCTTGTCGATCCGTTACCCCCTTCCCTCCCCACAAAGAGAATGCCGCCGCCGGCATTCCCTGCAGCGGCTCGGGGAATTCCCCGCGACCGCCAGCTCTGCCTGCCCCGCCCCACCCCACCACGCGTTAAACACCGCGCAAGTCCAATTCAAATTCACAAATTCCCCCCTCTCCCCCTAAAGTCTTCACCGCGCAGCTCACCGCGCCCCCTCCCCTCTTCACTAAGTCGAGGAATTAAGTTCCTCACTTGTGCCCCATGGGAGAGCGATTAGCGTGAATGCAATTGTAATGACTCCTCAGAGATATATTGATTGTTGTCGTTCCTTAAGAAACCTGTAACACGCCCTAGGTTAGGTTGACATCCCATGACCTCTAGGAGTCTTTCTTCTGTAAGGGGTCGTCCACATATTAGGTCACGCTCTTAGGGGGAGGGGGAGGGAGGGGGGTGGCAAAACGTGACGTGGGAGGAGGGTGTGTGTGTGTAACACCGTTACGTCACATTTTTCGAGTAAAGAAAATACGTTTTTTAGCAGTTTTTATCAAGTTTACCGTACAGCGACTAGCAAAGTATCTGAGTAAGAGAGGGAGGATTCACACGCGGGCGGCGGGCAAGGCGTTTCCGAGTGTAATGCAGCGATGTCACCTTAAACACTCATTTTATCACCTATATTAAGCCTTCGCGATTTTTATAAAATTTTGTATGTTTATGCGATTAATGTCGAAAATATGACGTCACAAGGGGAGGGGGGCAGATTTTGTGATGGTGCGTGACATAGAGG